ATTTATTAAAATATTATATATAAAATTATAATATACAATATAAGATAAGTTAATTCTTAATTAGACATACTCTATAGTATATATTATAAGTGCATTTTTTAAAGATTATAATTTTTTTTAAATTTTAAAACTAAATATAACAAAGTGCAATGTTTGGTTATACAGATGACTGGTTATGTATATTTATTTATATGTATTTATTATATATTTATACTAAATATTTTATATAATATTATATATTACAATATAAGATAGCTAATCATTAATAAACATACTCTATAGTATAATAATTATAAGTTGCATTTTAGGATTATAATTTAAATTTTAAACTAAAATAGCTATTATATTTATTTATATTTATATAAATATTTATATAAATTATATATACAATATAAGATAGTTAATCATTAATAGACATACTCTATAGTATATAATTATAAGTTGCATTTTAAGATTATAATTTAAATTTTAAAACTAAATAACAAGTGCAATGTTTGCTTATACAATGACTGGTTTATTATATTTATTTATATTTATATAAATATTTATATAAATTATATATACAATATAAGATAGTTAATCATTAATAGACATACTCTATAGTATATAATTATAAGTTGCATTTTAAGATTATAATTTAAATTTTAAAACTAAATAACAAGTGCAATTTTTGCTTATACAATGACTGGTTTATTATATTTATTTATATGTATTTATTTATATTTATATAAATATTTATATAAATTATATATACAATATAAGATAGCTAATCATTAATAAACATACTCTATAGTGTATAATTGTAAGTTGCATTTTAGGATTATAATTTAAATTTTAAAACTAAATAACAAGTACAATGTTCGCTTATACAATGACTGGTTTATTTGCATTTTCTCTTTAATTTACTATTATTTAAAACTCCATATTTTTTAAACATTTTCCATAGAGGTCTTTTACACTCTAATATTCCAGAAAAAGTAAGTCAGTTTTAATAAAAGAAAATACTTTTTCCCTTTGTCTGTATTTGCTATATAAACCCGCGGGTACCGATAAACACTGAAAAATCTGTTTAATTGTAAAATAATATATAGGATGCTTGTGACATATATGGGTGTTCGGGGTAAACTTAATATGAGTAATTCGAAAAATCATAAAAAAAGTTTAATATCACATTAAAATACCAGCTTTTATAATAATATAATAATCTCTGTTATAAGACCACGTTTGTCATTATATATAAGGAAAAAATAAAAATTTCCAAAAATAAAAAATAAAAAAAAAATCCCATTTTTCCAATTAGACCATTAAATTATTATATTCTTCTTCTTCTTAGTATCCGTTTCCCCTTGTGGGGCATAGAGCCGTAACGATTCTCTTAAACCAAACTCTATTAGGTGTTTCTCTGCATATATCATTCTGTGTGTATTGCGCTTCTGTCATTTCTCTTTCAATTGTCCTTCTCTAAGTTAAAGCCGATGCACCAGGGCGTCTGCTGTCTTGTTGGTTCCATGTCAAAGCTAGTCGTGGAATGTATTTAATTGTTCGTCGGATAGTATGCTCTATCCAATTCCATTTTCGCATTTTTATTTCGGTTACAACAGCTTTCTAATTTGTTTGGCGTAAAAGTTCTGCATTTGACATATGGTTAGACCACCATATTTCTAGGATTTTCCGCAGGCATTTATTTAAAAATGTTTATATCTTCCTTTCTATCTGTTTTGAATGTTTCCATTATTCGCAGCCATAATAAAGGTTAGTTATATTAGTATTCTATGCATAAATTATTTTTTTTGGAATCAAATTATATTAGTATTCTATACATAAATTATTTTTTTGACATATATGATTTTATTGTTTATAAAATCTGGTCTTGAAAAGAACGTCTTAATGTGTCTACAAGATGAGTAATGTCTAATATTCATCGAACAATTTCTTCATTAATTCGAGTGTAAAAAATAACTTCTTTATGAGTGTACTTGATGAGTAATGTCTAATTTCCATCCAGCGAACATTTTGTTCGTGAATTGGGCACTGTCGCATTTAAATCACTCCACAAAGTATAATCGACATACGAGTGAATTTGAAAGAAACAGAGGGCGTTATCTCAGTTCGCAAGCAAAAAGTTCGCTTAGTAAAGTTCGTTTACTTAAGAATGAAAAGCTAGTGTAAGTGTAGTATATAGACTAAGGGGAAAATAAATCCCTTAGTCTATATACAAAAACAATTGTTGAAGGGACGTTTAACAAAGTAGACCTTGTTCTATTAAAGTTGTCATTCTAAGAAGTAGGTGTCATTAAAGAAAAGTATTTATAGGACCCAATAAATTAACTTGTTTACTTCTTTCTTATACTTTCATCGCATTTTTAATACTTTAAACCATAATTAAACAGTTTCTTAATTATTTATTAACTCAAAAAAATTTTTCTGAATTATCTAAATTATTTTGTTTGCTAAAGTTTTAATGCCACACGTTCGTCTCACTTTTACAGATTAACATTTTGTCAAAAAATGTGGGTTCATAATCTTAAAAATCAATTAGTTTGATTATTTCAATGGAATATAAATAAAAAATAAAAATATTAATTAAATTGCGTCTTAACATTGCGAAAGTCAAATATTTGTTGTCATAAGACATGGTCTGGAGCTGATAAGAAAGTGGCATATAAAAACTCGTATGAAGTCAAATTAATTTGCTAAATGAACACTTTGATTGCCAGTTGAATAAATTTCAATAAATATTTTAATTTCAGTAATTAAGTAAAATAATTACAATTATTTAGTGCTTAAGACTTAAGACTGGTTTAAATCAGTTTGACTAGTGTTGAGCCAACTGCTGCTCCTCACATTAGCTGAATGTGAATTAAATTTTCATTAAATATAGTATTTGCCATTTGTCTTTCACTCAGATGTTCGCGTGTATGGTCTAATTTTTATTTTATTACCTTTGGTATTGCCGAATGGAACCAATAAATTCATTAGTGTTTATTAGTACCATAAGATAGGAGACATATTTCAATATAAACACAAATAAAATTCACCCATTTAGAGAGAAATATTCTGTAGACTTTGTACTTCTCTCAAGCATAACACACCCACTTTTGTTATCCAATCAGCCTTAATTAGTGGGCGATATTTTATTGACGATTCTGGCTGTCTTTTTAGTCGATGAAATGACGACTGTCAGCTGAGGATGTTTGTAGAACTTTTTGGTCTTGTGATTGCCTTATGAATTAAAAAATTTCCACATACATTAACATATACATATATGTTTAAATATGTAAAAATTTTATTAAATATATTTATGAACTAAATTTTGCTTCTCTGCATAAATAATATGTTATTATTTTTTTTGTTTCCAACTATTTGGACTTTAACGACTAGGGATCTTTCTGATATTTTTAGTAATTTTCTTTATTTGTTTTATTGCGAAGCCTTGCTACTGTTTCGAATAATTCCGAATTATATGTGCAGTGAATAGCAAACTAAGTAATGATTGTACTCATATTTTAAATGAGTGTATACTTAGATCTAAACTGGACGTATGTTATTTTGCTTGTTATTTTGCTTTTAGATACATATATAGTAAATATATGTCAAATAAGTGAATATTACGCATTGTATATACATAACTATTGTACGTTCAATTCTCACATATGGCACTGTTGTTTGGTGGCCAGCTTTAAGTAAGAGCTATATTGTTATAAATCTCAAAAGAATTCAGAAAACAATATGCAAACATGCTTGTCATAGGAGCTTTTAGGACAACCCTTTCGAAAGCCCTAAACGTGATGCTAAACCTGTTACTTTTCG